ATGGCTCTTGGAGGATATGGGTGTTTCCCAACCATCTTCTACTGATCTTTATTGTGACAATCAAAGTGCTTTACAGATTGCTCACAATGATGTTTTTCATGAATGCACAAAACATATTGAGTTTGATTGCCATTTTGTTCGACATCATGTTGGCAAAGGTACTGTCCACCCAGTCTTTATTGGCTCTGCTGATCAGCCTGCAAATCTCTTCATTAAGGCTCATTTTCTTGGACGCTTCCGCACTCTTCTTTCCAAACTCAAGCTGGTCTCTTCTTCACCACCTTGAGTTTGAGGGGGAATGTTACAAAATATTCTCCCTTGATTATGTCCACATTGCTATAATTATATTCATATTATAATTGATTGACATAATTAGATTAATTGATTTTGTACCACTGAATATTCTATTATGCAGGCCTATAAATAGGCACCTTATATATTCAAAATAATCAAGAAAAGTATTTTCTTCATATTTTTCTCTCCTGCTTATTTCCTCACAAGATTTAAAGCTGGCACGGACAGAGCATCAATTAAAGTATCATTTTTAACTAGCTCTCTCAACTTTTGTTAGATTTTTGGGGTAAGAAGAAAGGGAGTAGAGAGAGGGCTTGGAGGAGAAGGAGAGACACTTGGAGTTCCCTCTTTTGGTGAGGTCAAAACCCATTTCCTACCATCGATATTCTGCTATTTATAACAGAAACAATACAACATAACATAGAACATAAAGCCATAAACATGGAAGGGTGAAAACATTCACCCAACCGGAGAGGAGAAACTATGCTTTCTTTTAGTTTTCATTCAATTTCTTCCTTCCTTTTTATAGAGGAAGGCTACACATAAAACAACAATACTTTTCTACCTAAGACAATAATTATTAACTACCTAAAACATTGACTAAAATGATGAAGTTTGCTGCCATTTCTTGTAGCCCATGTGCAGCTCCATGTGGTTGTCACTTTGCTGCTACTGTGCAGTCATGTTGCAGTATCATTTAGCAGATTTTATTTCATTGCATTTTCAGCTTTCATGTCATAGCTCCAACAGCTTTTGCAAACAACATATATTATATTTACACTCTTCTTATATCCAACACCAAAAATTGTTCCTTTTCTTTTTTCTTTTTTTCTTTTTTGGGCCAGGAAACATGGCTGCTGCCTTGGGAGAACTAAAATTTAACCCTTTTGTATCGAAGTCATTTGTGACGTTTTCTTAGGAACCACCTCCCAAGGAGCTTGAAACCCAATGTTTTCTACAGCTCCAACTGTCTTAAACAACCATCTTTTTCTCACCTCTTCCACTAATGATTGGTGTAGTAATTGGCTCCACACATCTACCTATGAATGGTTCCTCACTAATTTTTGGCTCTCCATGCCTCCTAATTTTAGAGCTAGTTCCATGTAATGCTTTGCGTTGGTCATAGTAACAGTAATTCCTTGCAATGTTTAAACATTCTTCAAGGTAAAATCTTGTTGTGCTACGATGTGCATTTCTTCTTGCGGCACTTGCTTCAGGCTTGTGATCATCCCCACATAAGTAACTCAAGTTAGAATATGTTCCTGAGTGTGAAGAACTTTGAGAGCTAGTATCATCAACCAAATCATCTGCAACACCAAGACTTTCAAAATTAATCAGTAAGAACATAGCAAAGAGATTCTTAGAGGCTCTTCTAATGTGTTTTTAAGTCTAGCTTTCTTTTACTTGAAGAAGCTTGAGAGGAGAAAAGAATCCAAAAAATGACCTTGGTTTTCATTTCATATTTAACAAGATACAAGAGCATAACATTAATTTCTACATATCCTAATGCCATGAAATAAACATGGTTACTTTCTACTAATTCTTTCAGATATATATATATATATATAGCATACACTAGATATGTTTCTGAAAATAGTCCAAGAAAGTATAGCAATTACATCTTATATGTGTTAGAAATAAAAAGAGGAAGAAATATTTGAAGAAAGGTTTATTACTTTTTTATCTACATTATATATACAAAAAATCTATATTGAGATCCATATAATAGAATATTGCTAGGCAAAAGCCTACCTTTAGCCCCTCACCTTATACCATAACATTTTGAGCTCCTCACCTTATTAGATTTGTAGGTTTTAACCCATTACCTTATACTATGACACTTTTAACCCCTTACCTATTAAAATTGAAGAAAGTAACTCTCATTTTGTAACATTTTGTTAGTTCTATTAACTGACTGTTAACTTTATTAACCGATTATTAGTTAACTGTTAGCTTACAAAAATCTTCTTTCAGTTAACAAAATTAATAGAACTAATTTTATAATATTTCATTAATTCTGTTAACTGACAATTAATTAACTGTTAATTGATAAAAAACTACTTTCAGCTAACATAGTTAATAGTTAGTATAAAGTGAAGGCTATTTTCTTTGATTTGAATAGGTGAGGGGTTAAAACCAATAAATCTAATAAGATGAGGGGCTAAAAGTGTCATAGTATAAGATGAGGGGCTAAAAGTGTCATAGTATAAGATGAGGGGCTAAAACCTTCAAACTTGGTAAGGTGAGGGGCTAAAAGTAGGTTTTTGCCATATTGCTAAGTACAAAACCAATTAACTTAAATGTATACAATTAATTATAATGTGAACATACTAATATAGTGTAAATGCTAACATTCAAACAATATGTAGATTAATTCAAACACATTAACATCATGTATAGAACCCCAACCCCAGCCCTCTCCATGTATAACTGAAGGGTTTGTTTTTTGCTCTAATATTCTAGGGTCATTTGATGGAGGTTAATTCTTCCCAACATTCTCACGTTCAACCTTATCATTTGTGGAAAACAAGTCCTTGCATAGCTCTCCATAGAATCTGGAAACTAGACCAATGAAGACAGGACATCTTAGGTTGTTCCAACAATAGAGGAGCTCTTCCACGTCCATCAGATCACTCACTTTACCTTCTTCAACTATCATTTCCACCAAATAATTCTCGAAACTCCTGCATGCATCTTCATAACTCCTGGCCTCAACAGTATTATTATAATTAGCTGATGGGAAGAGCAACTTATCACACCCTGACCCTGCATTCAAGAAACTCTCAACCTCATCGATATCATCTGCCTGCTTATTCATCTTTGACTTTGACTGCCTCAGCGTGAAAAACTGGCCGGCCGATTATTTATGCTAACTTTAAATTTGGAGCAGCAAGGATGACATTTTATAAAGACTTATGTACAGGCCTATCGAGTTGGAATCTGAAGATTGGAAGTATTCATCAACATATATACTTGGCAATCAAGGCAACAAATGCTTTCAATTTCATCTTTAATGATGGAGATTTGGTAGGCACAACATGCAGCAGCAGGATGTCTGTTTGGGGGAGAAGAGTTTGAAGTTGCAGATGATCGAGAGCTTTTGTTGGAATAACAACAACCAAGAGATAGAGATTGAGATTTTGACTGATAGAAGTGGGTGTTACGTAAGTTAGTTAAAGAGATGAGAGAAGCAGGGTTAGTTAGAGTAGTTCCTGTACTTCTGTTAATTTGTCCAACAGTTTGGTGTAGGCCTAGGGGACCAGTGGGGTCAGTTAGGATAGTCTCCATTTTGTTTCCCAAATATTTCTTTGGAAAATGCTATTGGAACAACTTTTTTGTTCCACTTTTTTGTACAACATGATATGTTATTAAAATTGTTGATTCTTTTAATTCATGTGAAACGCATGATATTAAATGTATCTACTCATTCAATGACATGTGAAAATTATATAAAAATGTGGGACAACAAAGTTGTCCCTATAGCACTACTCTATTTCTTTAATGTTGGAGTAGCTAATTTGTGTTGCTTAGCGCAACAACATCTATCTAATCTTCCTTAAAAATCCATTTACCAGTATAGCGGTTGATGATCCAATTGAATCACACCATCTCACTCTCTATTCAAATTGAGACCTTGAAAAGAATTGGATTTAAGGGGAGTTCAGGTGGCAGACTGGCAGGGATTACGTTATGACTGGCCGCCTACCTCAATAGCTGATCTGCAATTGCAACTCACCAAGCATTGAGAGCTTGTCCACCACCACCTCCACCAGGGCTGCTGCCTATGGAATATATCATCATTTGTGAGGAACAAACACCACTTAGTAGACACATTGTTGCAATGTGTTCTTAACTTTACCCTTTTTTAGATGAGGTGTTGACAATTCTTTAAGTTGCCGCAAGGTGTATACAAATATACAACACTTGCTAGAAATTAAAAGCATAAACAAAGCCAGAGCCCAGAGCCCAGAGCCCAGAAAGATTAGTTTATTTGCTTCGCATTCACAAAAGGCGGAGCTTCCACCTCCACTTCTTTGTGAAACTTACCTTGCAATGCAAAACTAATTAAATCCTGATTAAAAGGAAAAAGAAAAATAAAAAGAAAAAGGGGGGTGGGGGAGCCAATCATCATTTATATATGGATACATGATATTCATGATTTTCCAGGTTGGGGGACCTCGACTCTTTGTTCCTTCCTTTTGCTTCTTATCTTTAGTCTTCAATTCTCGTGTTTTAATAAAAATAGAGAGAGGAAAGCAAAAATAAACCATCCTCGAGACAAGCATGAGTAATCACAAGTTGAGGTTCTCTATATGATGCCAAATGCCTGCTTTTACAAGCTCAGAGACATGGGCAGAACCAGAACCTCTCATATATACCCTCAACAAAAAACCGTCCCTCCCCCACAATTCCTACTGCTTCACAATGTTGGAATTATTGTTAGAAATGTGGTATTCAAATCTGCAAAAATGATGAAATGAAACTGCCATGAACAGACAGCAATGAGGCTGAAAATTGAAAGCAAATGAAGCTGCAATTTGACAGCAGATACGGCAGCAATTTAACTGCAAATATAATGGAAATGAAGTTGTCAAATGACAGCAAAAATGTGCAGCAAGCTAAGCTGTAAATGATGATGAAATGAAGCTGCAATGAACAGCAAATGAAATGTAAATGCAAATGCATTTGAATGAAGGGCTGTAAAGCTGCCAAAGGACGCAACCATGCGGTAAAAGTAGTTGTTACTTATTTCAAATTTCAAATGTACTTTTATTGTTGCTTTTTATGTAGAATAATTGCTTAGAGATGATACAAAATTTTTTGAATTTTGAATTGTTTTAAAGTTTATATTTTACTGTATATAACAGAAATTGTTAATGAAAAAATCTGAATTAGAGTGTCATACTCCTCCTCTCCATTTTAGTTGGGTTCTGCTCTTCATTTTCCTCCTGATTTTCTCTCCATTTCTTTTTGAAAAAAAACCAACACACACAAAAGTCACATATATACAGGAATAAAGTTCAGAGCAAATTAATTCCCGAAGAATTGCAAGTAAGAAGATTAGGGCCTATGCACGTCTAGGAATGGAAGCTTTGCAGTGGTTAAGTCCTCAGTTCATCCACAAAGAGACTTCAGGGATTCAATGATGGAAATGATTCTGGAGAATAACATTTGAGCATCAAAAGATTTGGAAGTGATAATTTTAAAGAATGAAAAATGTTGATTCATTTCTTGAACTCATCTTTACAGCTCGGTAAAGGCATATGTATATATATAAAAAAACAAGGAACCGGCTTTTGTGTGAAACCATTTGGAGAAATCGCCGTTGTACCAGCTGCATTAATGAAGTTGTAGACAATTGTGCATTGCAACAGAGATGGCGTATTGAGGCAGTAGACAATTGAGTGAAGACCTGATCTTGCAGGGAGTTGCAGTAAGCATTTTTCTAGTGCATTTATTAGCATGTCAGCATATATCAATATTATAACAGGAAGATCTTCTTGCGTGTTATCTTTCAGTTTCACTCAATTCAAGGGAAGGGAATGTTAAGGAAAGAATCAGCTTGTGAATCTGAATCTCCATTCAATTATTTCTGTACTATTGTAAATATTATTCAAATCTTTTATTTCCTTTTGTAGTAGGGTTATTAGGGATGCTCCCTGTATATATTGCATAGCTGCGCTCCCTGTAAATAACGGCACAGCACACAGCTTGATAAATACATAAAAACATTTCAGTGATATTCTCAATTACCTCTATTTAAGTTTTATTAGTGGTATCAGAGCCCTTCTCAAACGAGACCATGGCTTGCCAAATCCCAATAGACAGACCCACTTTTGTTCACGAGCAGCATGCTTCTTCAGCATGTCAATTGTGTGGCCAATCCGACCACCTCGCAAGGAATTGTCCCCAATTTCTTATACAGCCTAATTGTCCCATGACAAATTTCTTAGCTACTCCTTGTGATCCTACTAATAATTGGCTTATTGATTCAGGTGCAAATAGTCATGTAACCACGGAATTGGCGAACCTTGTTCTGCATTCCAAGTACACTGGCCCTGACAAACTCCTAATTGGTGATGGTTCAGGTTTGAAAATTACACATGTGGGACAAACTACAATTTCCACACAAAATATATCTCTTCCCTTAAATAACGTTTTATGTGTTCCCAGTGCTTCCAGAAATTTAATTTCTGTTTCTCAGTTATGCAAATCTGCCAATGTTATTGTTGAGTTTCATGCTACTCATGTTTTTGTGAAGGATCGCAATACGGGGGTGATATTGCTTCGTGGACAAAACAAAAATGGGGTATATGAGTTTCCTGTTGTGAACCACTCTCAGTCACAACCAAGTGCTCTAGTGGGTGAATGCACATCTGTGACAGATTGGCATGCTCGATTAGGACACCCATCCTCAAAGGTTCAAAACAAAATCTTCAGTGAAATTAGTTTACCAGTGACATCCAAGGTAGAGTCTACTGTTTGTGATCCATGTTTGTGCTCCAAAAGTCATAAGTTGCCCTTTAGTCATTCCACCATTAAGAGTCATGCTCCATTAGAGGTTATTTATTCAGATGTTTGGGGCCCAGCTCCAGTTTCTTCAGTTGATGGTTATAACTATTTCCTCTTGTTTATAGATCTTTTTAGTCGTTACACTTGGCTTTTCCCTTTAAAACAAAAATCATAAGTCTCAACAATTTTTTCGAAATTTAAAATGCTTGTTGAGAATCAATTTGGAACAAAAATCAAGAATTTTTACTCTGATGGTGGGGGTGAGTACATTGCCTTACAAAAGTTTCTCTCTGAAAATGGAATTTCTCATTTCACTACACCTCCATATACTCCTGAATTAAATGGTATAAGTGATCGTCGAAATCGACACATAGTTGAAATCGGACTTACTCTTCTTCATCAAGCATCTTTACCATCACGTTTTTGGTCTCATGCGTTTCTTACTGCTGTCTACTTAATTAATAGATTGCCTTCTTCTGCTCTATCTTTTATATCCCCATTTGAAAAATTATTTCATTTGAAACCAAATTATTTAAAACTTTGAATTTTTGGTTGTGCATGTTACCCTTGGCTTTGGCCCTATTCGCAAAACAAACTTCAACCCCGGTCTCGTCAGTGTTTATTCCTTGATTATTCAATAGAAAATCTAGGCTATAAATGCTATGATTCCAAAACAAATAAAATATTTTATTCTAGACATGTTTTATTTAATGAAAAATTATTTCCATTTCAATCATTTAAGAATCCTTCCATATCTAGTTCTAATTGTCAAAAATCCTTTTTAAATTCTAATCTTTTCTCCTCGGAAAATCCAGCCACTAGCATGCCAATCTCCACTTATGCACCTTCACCTATTGGGATTTCACCTCAGTCCACGTGGTTCTCACCTCAGTCCACTTGGCAAGAATCTCATCCCCCTACTGTGAGTAATTCACCAAACCACATCTCTAATTTCCTGCCCACTGCTGTAACCGTCCCATCTACTTCACCTCCTTCCTCACAACCACCATCTCATCCCCAAATTCCACACTTACCTGCCTCACCTACAGTTGATACATCCTCCACCTCTACGACTCCATCTCAGAATCAACCATTATCCTTAGCCAACTCACCTCCATCATGCCTTGATGTCCACCCTACAATATCTTCCTCACCTTCTCCTCCACCAATACCACCACCCACCAGAACTCACCCCATGATCACACGTTCCCAAAACCAGATCTTTAAACCCAAGCAACTCTACCTTGCAAAAACACCTTGTTCTGAAATTGAGCCAACATGTGTAAGTCAAGCACTGAAAGATCACCAATGGAGGCAAGCCATGTCTGAGGAATTCAGTGCATTGGTGAGTCAAGGTACGTGGGATCTTGTTCCTTCTGCACCTAATCAAAATATTATTGGTTGCAAATGGGTCTTCAGGGTGAAAAGAGGTAAGGATGGACAAGTTGAACGCTATAAGGCTAGACTAGTGGCTAAAGGCTTCCATCAAAAACCAGGATCAGATTACTTTGAAACATTTAGTCCTGTTATCAAACCGACAACCATCCGGACGGTTCTATCCATTGCAGTGAGCAGAGGCTAGAAAATTCATCAATTGGACATTAACAATGCCTTTCTTCATGGGAAAATTGATGAGCAATTGTTTATGCAACAGCCAGCAGGATTCATTGATCCTAATCTTCCACACCATGTATGCCGGTTGCACAAATCCCTCTACGGGCTTAAATAAGCCCCAAGGATGTGGTTCAGGGAACTAAAAGACTTTTTGGTTTCACATGGCTTTACCAACTCAAGGTCAGATTCCTCTCTCTTCATTTTTCATCACGATGCTAATTGGCTTTATGTCCTGGTGTATGTAGACGATATCCTTATCACTGGAAGCAGTCCTAAAGCTATTGACAACTTGATTACTGCAATGGGTTCCAAATTTTCCTTGAAAAACCT